GAATAGAACTGCAAACTGGACATTTCACTACTCATAGCTCAGGGGGGGGGGGAAGTGGAGGAGCCGTAGGGGAGCCATTGGTCTTATGGGTATTGGTAGTAAAATTTCCGTTTCATCCCCATTCGACGGTAATTATAGGGGTGGAGTAATGAGAGCAAAGAGAGGCGGGGTCGTACTAGAGAATCCTCCCCATCACGCTAGGCGATTTGCCATGTTTCGGATGGCGCTATTGCGTACCAAAATCGAAAAATTCGTGTTGAAAAAAATTTTTGCGAAATACGACCCCCCACAAACAATCCCCTCCGATCCCTTTCCACGAACAATCTCACTTTTCTGACGTCGAGAGCAGTGAGAGGGGGTAGACACCTCCGGTCAACTTTTAGATACGGCCTATGTTGCCGCCAATGTGGTGAGGGCGGATCTTCTAACATTTTACAACCTCCCCTTCATTGACCGGAGTATGAGATCAACTGGGATTCTGCCAATGATGAGCGCGTAAAACAAGCGACTTCGACTTTCTCCAACTAGGGTGTATAACAACGGGGGCCGTGCCCAATTTGTTTTCACTTGTCCGACCAAACCAGTGAGAAACCCCCAAGATGCGAGACAAAATAACATATTCAGTACCTTTTCCTAGAAAACACGAAAACGACCATTGGCAGTTGTTCATTAGTGCGAAGGAAGTCAATAAGACTTATGTACACATTCTTGTCGTTTTTGCCGGTTGGTTTCCCACTGAAACCACCACCGGTGTTCCCGCCTGCAAAACTTTTATGGGGCAATATGACAAGGTTTTAAAGGCAGTGGGCACGATGGCTGGGGGGGGGGGTGGTTGTTACCAACGTCATTGCTGGAAGGGCTGAATGGGTTGTGACCAAACGTCCCTTCGCACCCCTTCCACCAATGACGCTGACAATGACACCGCCCGCCAGTAGCCATCGTGCTCACTGCCTTTCAGCAATTTTAAAACATCCCTATGCACTCACTATGCCCTCCACGAGCTTGTCCGCCGCGCCCTCGATTAGAGCCATCTCCGCGATCAGAGCCACCTGGTCTGCCTTGGTTAGAAGCCGCGTCCCGCTTGTTGGCCTGAAAATATGTTTGGGAGAGAATAGAGGGTACAACAGTAAAGTATTCAGGAGTCACCTTTGCATCCGCTGCTTTCCTATATCCCACTTCCTGCCAGTTTCCGTTCATATCAACTATTTTAAACAGATCTTTCTTCGTTTTACCGTCCTGTCCCGTATAGAGGTAATGTTCCAAAGGAACCGGACGTTTTAAAGTCGACACTACATTGATCTTTCGATTTTTAATACGCCTGAATGAGGAAAAAAGTCGAATCAGATTTCGAAAAGTTATTCACAAGCTGTCTTGTTCGCTGCGGATGCTGCGGCGTGCCAGGGGGGCTGGGTTTGGCACGCCCCAGCATCGACAGCGAATAAGACTGAATATAGCGATCCAAGACGCACCCAACCCAATCCGCAAACTCAATACAGTTTGGTACGGTAGCAGAGAGCATTACGATCTTCACATGAGATGGTAGCATTATGAGCACCTGAATGGAGATAAAGCAGTTCTCGTAACATTCCCACAAGGGGAGCAACTAAAACTTTGCCTAAAGTTCGCGACATTGGCGAATCCGTGGAGCCACGTGAAGGCAGTGGGCACGTAGGCTGGGGCGAGAGCTTGCTGCCAACTTCATTGGTGAAAGGGCTGCGAGGGGCGTTTAGCCACACCCCGCTTAGCCTTCCCACCAATGACGTTGGCAGCAACCGCCCGCCCCCAGCCATCGTACCTACTACCTTTAAGTTACCCTGAGGTTGTATGGGTAGCAGCGGAGCACTGTCATCACCATTTTAGTCAATTCGTCATAGAAATCGGATCGAAATCGGCTTCTCGCGCTCCATGGTCAACCCCAGAAATCCAGAGGCGCTCGAAGACAATTCCCGCGATCAAGTGTAACAGGTAGCAGGTGCTCAGTCATGAACCAGTAGCCCATCAAAAACTCATCAGTAGAAAAAGAAGTGAAAAAGTTTGGGAACAGCCAGAGCAAAACCCCCCTAGCACTGGGCGCCTTGGACGGGTTCATAAATAGGAAAAAATCAGAAAGATTCTAGGTGCAACCTATTTCACGGTAAGAGCATAGGAAAATCGCTACGAGCTCCAGGCAACGCTATGTACACGCGCAATTCCGCTTGTGAGAAGTTGTCTTGCGGAGTTACAGTAAGCGGTTTGTGCAGCCCGGGTTGCAAAGCCATCGATACGGCGTATTCCTACTTCTCGTTATTCCTCGGCCCCAAATAAACCTAATGACGAAAGTGGTACATTCTCTGCGAGTGCGGCCAGCGATGCCAAAAGACGGGAAGATCGCGGAAAGTATCTTTGAGCCGTGCGACTGAATCGCAGGTATCGTCAACTATAAACGCATCCTATCATACCTCTTCCCATACATGCCCTCTCTCAGGCATGTTGATGTCCATGAACTTCTCGAACACCACCTTCGTCCAGGTCGCGAAAAACTCAGAACGCATAGTAGAGATAGATCTGTACATGAATCCATGACCAAGTTCAAGCTTGGACAGTAACAACAGAATAAGATAGGATGAAAGATAAAATGAGCATTTGGCTCTGATGAATCTTTTTGGGATGCGACACGCACTCCACATATATTCAGAATCGCTCGTACATTAGGAAGCGACCTGGTCTTTACGGTAACTTGCGAGGGCTAGTGGACATGAGCTCTGGCATGGAAAGGAAAAAGAGAACGTATTGAGTCCTGTCCCTCAATTACCTCAAAATTTCCGTGGTCATTATGAGACAGAAGGCTTCAGGGAACAATTGGATATCACCAGTAACGAGACCGACATCGGTGAACATCATCTTGAAATCTCGAAATTTCTGATTTGATAGTGCCTTTATCGGCGAGGTGTAAATGGCCCTAAAATGAGAGTCAACAATTATACAAAGGAGAGAATTAGAGAATTCAGTTTTTGGGTGGTCATTAGTAAGTTCAGAACCTCGAGGAGAATAGTGAATCTATCAGGTGGTCTTCCAAATTTCAAAAAAGAAATCCCTACTCTAAGCTAAGACCATGATTTTACGTACGCGCTACCTTGACCTAACTGTGCTTCACTCTGAGCCCATCGATTCTTATTAGTTAAGTAACCCGAGAAAATACAATTCGATTTGCAGAAGAAACACTAACCGAGTCTTGTGGTGTTCGCACAAAGCCTACTGCATACTCAGCCACTACGGTTTTACCAGCTGAAGTATGAGCGGCAACAAAAACTGATTCTCCTTTCTCCATGCAAACAACTGCAGCCTGCTGGAACGCATCCAGCTCGAAGGGATACTAAAGTACCAATTTAAGTGAAAGTCTCCAAGATACAGTCTTGTTCACTGCGGATTCCGAAGCGTGTCAGCGGTTGTGCTGATTGCCATTCATCTGTTGCTCTACCATTTGTTGTATCTACGCAAACCAACCATGACTGTGAAGCGTCTGGTGCTTGGCGCTAAACCCAGCCACCCTGCCGATATGAAATGCCTCAGCAGCACAGCAAACAAGACTATATGTACATCGATGCGACCGCAAAGAAAGAACTTTGTACTCAGTCGCTTCGAAAGGAACGAGAGGAAAAAAAAGCATTATATTAGAGGAGAGAACGGCTAATATACCTTTTTAGCCATATTCTGCTTCAAAGACTTGTACTCCGCATGGCAAGATTCAGGATCGAGCTGTTTCGCATAAGCATAACGTTCAGGAGGTGAAAATATCACAGCTGGCTTCGGCAATTCCTTCTCGAGAGCTGCCTTCAAAATAGAGAATTATCATAAGAACCAAAGTAAATAACCCCTTACTTCGGCCATTGGAAAAAAAGCTACTGTTGAGAGATTACTACTTTGAATTAACACTGCGCACTCACAGACCATGCCTAAAACCACTTAAACACCCCCTAAAAAGGACAACAAGGAGGGTGAAACAATAGGCCTCAACGTGTGAAACGGACGAATATCCCACACACTTCTTATTCACCTTTGATACCTTTGATAAGATGGGGGGCCATGTCTTGACGGGTATGTGACAAGAGAATCGTAATTCGCCGCGCTGGTGGGCGTCGCGTGCGACGTCGCGCCCGCAAATGACGATGGTTCCAGGTAGTACGTGGCGACAACAGGCAATTCAGAACCGAATATAGTCATGTCTACGATGACGGGGTCTACATGAAGTCCGGTGCTCCATCGACAGGTTAACACGAGTTTAAGGAAACGCCGCGCCCATCGCCGCGCGTGGCGGAGCGGCGAATTACGATTCTCTTGCCCGTCTCCACTTCTTGACTATGGCGTAACAGTCGTGCTCCTACGACGCGGCCTTCAATTCCATCGTTACTCAGCATCAAAAGGTAGCCTACAGATCAGTGATCGTAGTCAGCCAAAGCCCCTCCCCCTCAGTTCCCTACGCAGGGCTGCTGGCCAACATTCTGACAAGAGCTGATCACATTCTTGACAGTGATCCATAAAGATGCAAGGGCAATCAACGCTATGGTTCAGACGTGAAGCCATCAGTCGAAATTGACCCTAAGCCCATTCAAACACTCCCGTCTTTGGAGGACGAAGCGCGTAGGGCAGCACAAACCATTCTTGAAGAGCCTTCAGCGAGAGCATGGTTGTGTGAAACCATAGGGGGGTCGTATTTGGTCGCCGGGAGAGGGATGGTCGTATGTGCCTTCAAGAGCAATTTGCTGCGTTGGGAAAATTTTTCCTGGTTGTTGACTTTTCGCGTGATTTTTCCTGTTTCATGTGTACTATATGCCCTCCCCCCCCCCCGCCCCACCTTTGGTGGACAGCACAATTTTTTGGGTGAAAAAGTGGAAAATGTGGGAAATCAGTAAGGTGTTGGGGAAAGGGGGAGGGGGTACCCGAGACCCTCCCGTAGGTAGAGGGTCGTATCAAGACGGAGAGAAGGGGTCGCACTGGCACCGTCATTTCACTTATCACGATGCTGTACCCTGAGCGTAATTGATCGGTGAGATGAGAGCCGAGAATTTAAGTGAATACAAAGGGTATTTCGAGAAAAGCAATTCTAGCAAGACCCCGTGCAGTCTCAGCAGGAAAGGGCGTGGAAAGTTCTGACGCATTTCGATAGCAAGCTTTCTTGCATCTCTTCCTCAACCTCATAAAACAGAACATATGACGAAAGTCGAAAAATGACAAGACCAGATATGAGCTAAGGGCGTACCCCGAAAAGCGTGACATCATAATAAAATTAAACAATTATGCTCCCCTAGACATACCTGGACGTCCTCCAATATGGGAGAATCTTGTTCTTTTGACTCGACCGTAACCTCTGCCTTATCGATGCTCTTTTCCTCCTTCACGACAGGAGTCTCTGCAGGTACTATCAGAGGCGCACCTATAAGGCGACAGTTCCACAGATATTCTCACGCGAATGGAGAGCCATAAAGTAAGGCCTTACCTCCACCAACGAAGTCCATAAGGTCGAACAAATCAGTGGAATCAAAATCGATAACCCCATCTTTCACTAGGTTATCTGCTGTTGGTTCTTTGGTATCTTCAGAGGTCGTAGGTAAAACAAGTTCCAACCCTCTCTTCATTCCGGGGGCGCATGAGAGCAGATCTTAAAGTGGAGATCACTGCATTTATGGCAATCTTGAACCAAAACCAATATAAGGCCAACTTTCGCGACGGAAAAACTCGTTTTCATCGCATTCAACGTTCTCTTCGATTCCGGTGAAGGCCATCACATTGCCAAAGGCGCTGTCAAAACCACCTGGAAGGCATTTTTCAATATGTGAAAATTCATCTTTTGAAAAGTAAAGCCGCATTCATATTTTGCGACCGATTAGATCTGGCGATGGGAGTTCCGGTGAATTTGGAGTTTGCGCGACGAGGGATGTGCAGGTATCAAGCTGGCGAATGCGGCGGCTGAGTGATCCGGCGATTGACCGCCAGCGGATGGATACCAGTCGGCGCCGGACCGCCAGATCTCCGCAAACATTAGCGACCGACACCGATCGATACCCACCCACTCCTGCGCGACTAAACTTCCCCCGCGCGAAATCTTCCAAATCGACGGATCTCACCTGTCGCAAAGTATAAACGCGGCCTAACTTCTCTGTACCTGGGTAGAACGGCACGTTACTAGAAGAACCCTTGATACTGGTTGTATCGTTAGCAGGTGACCTAAAAACATACTACTACTACTTAAGATTTAGGATTGAAAAGGAAAACCAACCTGTTCAGTGACATTGATACAGATGAGGCACCGAACTCGCCCGCATCTCTGACGTATTCGATCACATCACTGAATTTCCCTTCAGAATCTATTAAAGGACATAACAGAGTTGCAGGTTCACTTGGTCGAATGATGTCGTCCAGGAAGGGAAAGCGGATCCGCAGACACCTTCGCCGGGTCCAAACTAAATTATAAGCGATCAATGCTCAGACTGATCCGTTCAGCCTCTTGACGCTGCATGATGAAAGGTGTGAGATGTCATGTCCAAATCTTACGCCCACGAACAAGCGAAGTATTTTCTAGCCAGATTTCGAACTACTGCCTTTTTCTGCGCTAGATCATTTACAATCTTGTTCGCTGCGGATGATGGGGC